GCCAGTCCCTGTCACAAAATCGTGAAATGCGGCTGTATCCATTATATAAACAGGAGAGGAATATGCCCGGATATTGTAGACCTTCTGCAAGTATGAATCAGCAGTGGACAGATACCGCAGTGCCTCCAGGTGTGTGATGCAGGATGCCGGCTCGAGAGGGCTGAGGGGGGAGCAGCCTGGTGTGGGGACAGGTGTGTTGCTATGACTACCAACAATAATCGGTCCATTGACATCGTCATGTTGAGTCACGTCAACATTAAATTGTATCGGCATTTATCTTAGGATATAAAAGGGCGTAGTACAATTTTTGGGGAAATACCGAGAGAAATCTGCCCCCTTCAAACAGATTATCATTAGACACTGAACAAAGTTCTCAAGAATTTCGTTATCATATATACAGGCAGGCCGGTCACGATAGCCGAGCGGTCTAAGGCATATACTGTCTTCGCTCGCTTGGAAACCGGGATCGTGGGTTCGAATCCCACTCAGGGCACGGATGTTTAGTTTGTGTGTTTTTCTGTGTTTGTGTACAGGCGACGAGCTGATCACACGCCCAAGGAGTCCTACCGAACGTGTAAGATCTAGAAAAACCGAAGTGAACGAAGAAGTTCATGGAGGTAGGCCTACGCCCACTGGGGCTATAGTGCCATGGGGGGATAATATATATATATAGGCGGGTTTTTAGTGCGTGGACTGGGTCCAGGGCTCTGCGCTTCACGGCAGCCGGTGCCCTGCTTGCTGCGAGGCGCATACGAATTTTGCCGATGAGTCAGCATGACAGACAGCCGATAACTTTTGGAATGAAGGAAAGTAATTAACTTGTGGACCGCTTGACGGCATTATGTTTCACGGCGAACAGTGTGGGAATTTATGATTTGTCAGCAGTTATTAGCTATACATATCTTTTGAAAGAAGCTTATGTTGGTTTCCTGTTGTTTCATATTGCAGTCACATGACGTGGCATTTAGTTTCAAAAGGGATATAAGAATATACTTGCTTCATATTCAGCAGGTGCTAGGTTCGATTCTCGTGAGGTTTTCATTCTCCAGTTTGGAATGTATGTACAGTTTATTTGTTTATTTTCAGTTTACTTCAACATGCTTTCGGTAGCTCGGACTGTACCGTGTTAAAAAGAAACAGACGTTAAATAATAAACTGTCCGCACCTCCAGCGGAAGGCTGCAGGAAACTGCACAGTGAGGAGGTTCACAACTTGTACTTCTCGCCAAATATAATTAGGACGAGATGGTCAGAGTATGTAGCACGCATAAGGCGCGCGCGAGAGAAATGCATACAGTATTTTGGTGGAAAAGCCACAAGGAAAGAAACCACTCGAAACACAGTCGCAGGCGGGAGGATAATATTAAGATGGATCCTAAGAAGATAGGCTGGGGTGATTATCGACTGGATTATACCGTGAGGTTTGGTATGCAGTATCAGGCGCTGACGTTACTGTTGTATCCCCCCCCCCCAAATTTTCTCTGTTTAAACACTTACAGGAGACATGTACCAACCTATGAATGGTGTCCTCACGCTAGAATGTGACTTTTTTTTTCGCTTAGTGGGGGGGTGGAGTCCAGTTGGGTCCACTCGGCACGGCGGCAACTGATTGGCCTACTATACCTGCCCCGGGTGATTATGATGATGGAGAATTTGGTGGAATGAAGATTGGCAGGGAAAACCGAAGTACTCGGAGAAAACCCGCCCCAGCGACACTTTATCCACCACAAATCCCACTTGACCAGACCCGGGATCGAACCCGACACGTCGCGGTGGGAAGTCAGCGATTAACCGAATCTGACTTAACGATACTGTATTTCACAGAATACATAGCGTCTCATGATAACATGGTTACAAATGGTAATTTTGTAAGTGTTGGAGGAAAGAGTCCTTGCTAACATTACGGCACTAGCCTGGCACTGAAGGAATATTAAAAATATGACAGACGTTTTTCGGGCCAAGATACAAATTTGGAACCTCGTAAGTATAATTGTAGGCCGCGCCATAGCTTAAGCGGTTAGTCGCTGGCTTCCCACCAAGGCGGCCCGGGTTTGGTCAAGTGGGATTTGTGGTGGACAAAGTGGCGCTGGGACGGGTTTTCTCGCAGTACTTCGGTTTCTCCTGCCAATCTTCATTCCACTAAATTCTCCATCATCATAATCACACGGGTCAGGCTACAATAGGCCAATCACTGGCCGACGTGTCGAGTGGACCCAGTTGGACTTCACCCCCCACTAAGCGAATTAAAGAAAAAGTATAATTGCAAGCCATTAGCGCAGCACAGTCCCCATACCTAATGTTACTAGGTCCAGCAGGTAACATAGCTAAACTGAACAGCAATTCGGTACTTCTTGCAGTCGCAATGTTGACATTTCTTATTTCCAACATAAACGANTAAGACGGTATTTGTCCATATATATTGTGTGAGTGTAACAGGATGCTGAAATATAATATTGTAAACAATAAAGGATCATGGATGAATGCTGTCCAGGTTTCTACTGTTCATGGCAGGAAATAAGGGCCAAGAACTTCCGGTAATAAATGACACGTTCCTGATTTCAGCCCTACACGGTACTCAATTCCCGAAATTCATTCTGTTCTTGGGTTGTTACGCCGTGCAGATGCGGGCCAAGTTGCCGACGTTTGCTGCCTCAGTCTCACAGGTCGAAGCGTGTAGGATAGTGACTTACGGATATTTGGCGATGTTGCTAACGTTCTTTTAGTTTTTCATTTTGGTGGGTTCGGATTTATATCTAGAGAGCCGTTGTATTTGTTTTCCATAGTACTTGAAGATTCAATTTATAAAGTAAATAATTTATTTTTCCCAAATACATGATTAACAATGTTTAAAAAATGGTGGCAAAGTTACAATTATCTCAAAACATTATTTATTTAGTATAAAAATCGCTGAGTGAATTACTCTAAAGGCAATAATACAAAACTCTTCCTTTGTAACCACAATCATTGTCTCGAATAAATCTTACAGAACAAGTAACCTGAACACTTTGTTGTTAAATGCAACATATTAAGTTGGAATACAACAATCTGAGCTGGAAACAAAGATTCAATGGAATTACATGAACTAATTTCAACTACATACATATATCTGTATCATAATCATGTATACTAACAACTTCAGGAATGTTTGTCTTAGTTTCAGTCACCTGTGGTGATGAAAGAATATACACAGTGCATGTGCCATAATAGTGTGTAAAAGCTGCCTCATGATTTGAAACACACACAAAAAACTAATATATGTGCTCATCCATTCTAAATGGAAATACGGTAATCACACTAACACTAATTATAACAGAATAAATAGAAAAAGAAAGACTAGACAACTTTTCTCCATTAGATATCTGGAAATGTTTAGACAATTAAAACTTGGAATACAACAAATTTAATTTAAATCAAACGTATAATTTAAAAATACCTGCTAATAACTTTTAAGTAAACTATATACACTTGAAAATTTACAACATTACTATATTACTTATCAACTATTAATATTTATGGATTACATTATGATTTTTTTTACACTTTACTTTTATTAATCACAGAATAGCTTATTATTTTCCTCTTTACGTTTCGGCCAGAGTCTGAATAATAACGTGAAACTCTCTACACACGTTCAGCCTATGAGATCAATATGTATCTGTTATATTCAGTGGTCACTTGTATGATTAGGAACGCCAATGAATGAACATCAGCAAACTGCGTTTCTACGCAAGACCAAGGAATTCAGGCAAACTGGGTATGTCAGAACTTTAAAATCATGACAATCACAAAGATAATCATTAACAAAATTGTTAGTGTGCATTTCTGGATGCATTCCAGTCACAAACTGCTGAATGTTTTTAAAGTTAAAAACTGGCTTTCATTAACATCCCTATCAAGTTTCTGGACAAGCTAATGTACATAAAAATAGATACGCTACTTAACAAAATTACTTGGCGTCTCATACAGCCACGACATTTGAAGGCCTACTGAAGACAAAAATATGTATCTATATATCTGATTGATTCTATTAGAAATATATTACAGCGTCAACTATTACCAAAGAAATAATCTAGATTTTCCTTTATACTGACTATATTTTAGCGGACAGTTTTTACAGCATTTCTTGTTATGTTCATTTAAATATTATACTTTCATGTAACATTAAACATCCCGGACTAGTGATAAAATCCCGGCAGAACTGTTTCAAGCAAAAGTACAACATTACGATCCGAGACACATAAACGCACTTATTTGGAGTAAGGAAGTTGCCTCATCAGTGGAAGAACTTTATTATTTTTGTACCACTTTAAAAGAAGGGCGATAAAAAGGGCTGTAGTGATTATCAGGAGATATCACTGCTATCAACTTTATATTAAATTATATTCCAATATTCTTTTCTCAAGGTTAATTCCATATGTAGACGAAAATGTTGGGGGATCATCAGTGTGGGTTTCGAGGTAACAGATCAGATCTTTTGCATTCGTCGGATACTGGAGAAAAAATTTGACTACAATGAGACAGTACATCAGATATTCATAGACTACAAGCAAGCCTATGATTCAAGTAACTGGGGAGTATTGTACAATATTCTCAGAGTTTGGGGTACCCGTGAAACTAGTTGAAACTTCGTCTCTGACATTAAGGGAGGACCATGGACTGAGGGCGTTTGAGAACAGGGTGGTGCTGGGCAGACCATCTGCACTGAAAGCTGAAGAAGGCTGAATATGACGAGCTTAAAGACTTCAGTTCTCCGGTAATTATAATCAGGGTGATGAAGTGCAAGGATGACATGGGCAGGGCATGTAGCACACACGGAGAAGGGGATAAAGTATTTTGATGGGAAAGTCAAAAGGAAAGAAACCACTATGAACGCCTTGACGTAGATGGGAGGATGGATCCTATAGAGACAGAATGTGGTGGTATGAACTGGATTAATCTGGCTCTTGATAGGAACCAGTGGAGGGCTCTCGTGATCACGGTAATGAACCTTCGGATTCCATTATATTTTGTGAAATTTTTGAGTAACTGCATAACTGGCGGCTTCTCAAGAAGGGCTCAGCTCCACGGAGCTAGTTAAGACCCATTCAAATCAAATACTTTCCCTTTGTACTGACACTGGAGAAACACGGTCTGAGGGTGTAGTCTACCCAACAGACACACAGATGTATCTTCGGGTTGTATAAAAGCAGGGGAAAATTGAAACACTGGAACAACTCCATTTTTTCGCCAAACTATGTACCACGGAGTTCCATTTTAGATCTTCCGTCACTTTTATTTCTTAGTGAGGCAATCAACGCGAATTCAGTTATTCTGCAGAAGGCTCTTCATATGCTTGTGATATAATACACCACATTTGCCTAAATACAATGCCCCCCCCTCAACACTTCCTGACAGATTAACTTAAAATTCTGTTAGGAATTTTACTAGAACCTAACGCCCAAGTGCCCTTATTTATTGTAATTAGTTTTTGTTTGAGAATAACGAAAGATTTAATAAAAAAAGTATGAAACTGGCCTGCACAGGCAGTCAACTAATACTCAATAAATTTTGCACAAATGGTGTATGGGCATTTCTTTTCGGCAGTTTCGAATTTCAAAATTGTGGTGCTCGTTATACATTCCTGGGGTCGCATTAACTTCGGCCAACTGCATTTTAAATTCATATCATTCAACCAGATGCAAACATCTTGTCCCCTAACATCATTTGTAGTCTTATACAATTTTTCTTAACAGTTTTCTATACTATAAAATAAACCAAGAACATTCTATTTACATAAAGACAAGTATGGACGTCAGAAATTGGGTGCATGATCCTAACTCTTCTAAGCAGAACCCAATGTTAAATGCCTGTGTTCTACTCTCTTCACATGTTAATGCAATTCTGACGTCACTGAGGGTAAGGCACTTTCAGTAAGGCACACAGAAAGCTACTGAGATCAACACGAGGTAACCTAATTCATGATATTATCAACGTTAATATGTAAATTAATATTTGGTATCAAAAAGTGTTATCTTTTGTAACACCACCATTCTAACTCTTTCTCTCCTCAACATATCGCTGAAAAATGATCTAATTTAAGCCTTATATATTTCCATGGTAACTTTTAACCCCTATTATTTGAGCTATATATAGACAATCGCGAAAAGTATAATTTGAATGTCACACATGAAACCTACTCACAGCCGAAGAGTTTGCTTTCATGACAATTAGTGTTGTTCGTAGCATGGACAGGATTATGGAAATAAAACAGTACATACTGTTGGGAATTGTCATATGAAATTTAGTGATAAAATCTTATCAGGTTACAAGCCGAATCAATGATGAAAATAGAGAACGTTTCTGGAACGGACTCTTGACTCTGAATTGAGACGACTGGTCATGTGAGAAGATTTATTTTGTCCCCTTTTAGTAGCTCAGAAACTTCTAGTCTTCTGACCTTATTCTTCAAGCGCTGTTTAGTAGGTATTCAAGGTGTAACCTCTTTATCACTGATAATGTATGTGTTATATTGCAGTAATTAACTCATTACCACATGGAAACGTCACTTGTTACGATTAATTATTAAAATTTACTGTATGTAAGGGCATTTAAATTTACTGATCTGACGGCGTCAGGATAAAATGAATTTCAATGATGTGACAAGCCCAAACTGGGGTCAATTCTCACGCCGTGGCAGCTCTTATCTTTCAGAAATGGACGTCCTGGACATCTGTAGGAGTCTCGGGCTGGCCTGTCTCATCAGCCACACACATCAGTTTGGAGGAACAGGATGCGGAGCTAGTGACCTTGTTGTTGTTAGCGGTCGGCAGGGTCTGCAGAGATGCTGACTCTGATGCCACGACACTCTCTATGTGGCACAGGACGTGCTCCGCCGCAGCGGGATCAACGTGTGTTAGGGCGCAAACCGAAGTCAGTGCAGAGGCGGCTGACGGCGGATTGAGACCACGAACAGCGGCGCCGATGCTAGCCGCTGCCAGCACAGACGGTCGGCTTTGGATAAACTCCGGTTCTGGAACAAATTCATAACTCAAATCAGACCCGCCAATGCAAGGGTTCTCGAAATTTGTGATAGAGGACCCGTTAAAATAATACACAAATTTCCACTACCCCATCTCTGACGGTCAGTGAAAAGTTTATTTCTGTGTACTGGGCACCCTGAACCGTTCTTCTCTTATTATATAAATAATACCCAAAACGCTATATACTTTCAGTCCATCAGAGCACACCCCACACACTTCACTGGATTACACGAGCCAACATCACACACAGATATACATCCAATAACAAACATTCGATAAGATTCTACGGAAACCAACAACAGGAACAAAGGCCGTCATTACACTGTCCTATCATCTCAACAAAATTTGTAAAATTATCTTAAAAGATTTTAACAAATTAATCCTGACACGCGCAACTTATTGTAACTTCATTAACAATTTAGTCTTGTTTTCTATGGCCAGTAGCTTTCCACTGTTATAGTGATAACTCCGACGTTGGATAGTATAAATATTCCGAATTCCATAAACATTAGATTATGTTAAAACTATGTTGGACACTGTCCACTGTCTGATATATGTTTGATACAGTCCTACACGTTTCGGGAAGTGCCCTTACTTCCGTTTTGCACGCAGCAGCAGTCGTCATAATACTAACAGAGAGAAGCATCATCAAAGGTCAGTACACTTGGTTGTCGACTTACGACCTATCAGTCAGAACGGAAGTCGGTTGTAAGTCGACGACCAAGTGTATATGGACTCACGGAACAATTCTCTGTGGAATGCTTAGAGACCAGAGGAACAGCTATACGGAAATATGCAGGCGGCTAGGAGGAACAAACAATTCAAAGTTCTAAGCAACGGCCAGGAACAGAATCTCAGAAAATCCCGACAGGCAGCGCTAGTATGCTACATCCGAGGCATATGAGAGCAGAATCAGCATTCAAATCATGAACACTGCGTAGGGCACGTAAGAATCAGATACAGGACTCAGTGCCTTGCACAAATAGCATCACATGAGAATGCGCAAGGATGGCTTACTTCATCCCTAAAGAATGGGGCAATTATCAGGTAGGAGAGTTCCTGTATTACGAAATTGCAAGTAACCTCATCAGTGGCAGGAGTAAGAATTCCGGACTGATCCGTGACCTCATGGCTCGCCCAGTATTCAGAAGGTCCCGAGTTCGATACGAATGACGCGACTATCTTAAAAAAAGTGAAACAAATATGTTTAGGGCGGGGAACATGGCCACGATAAATCATAGTTTCGAAAACTTTTGTTCAGAACCATAAATACTTGAACAGTCGTCCGGATTACTACAGTTCTATTTGGCCTACTCGCTTATGGCCTTTGCCTTGTGCAAACGAAGTCAGAAGATAACAGCAGAGACTGCGAGGAACCAGCGATCGCGGGTGTAGGACGTGAAGCGGGGGTGGGGGAACCATATAATTCATTGCTGAGAAACATTCACGCTGAGATGTGCTGATGATATCAGTAAATAAAAAAGGTAAAGCCATCCCTGTAACAGGCCGTGAAGGCCCACAGAGACGTCGAGGTTGTCAGCCTTACGCGCCGACTGCCCTTTGCCTCCCAGGAAGATTCCTGGTACTCGTTTCTTTTAGAGGCTGAGTCGACCCCATAGTGTGGCTGGAAAGATTAGGTCAATTGCAAAAAAATCCATCTCATCGGGACTCAAACCCGCAACCTTCCGGCTTGTAGCACTGTGCCTCAACCAAGCTACCGCGTGCCCCGTTTCACATTAGTCTACACAAACCTCTGCAGAATTGTACACTGGAATTTGTTCAGTACTGTACACTTTTTATAGCCATACAGTGTAATGGAAACTCATAAAGGCAGAAATTTCTTGAAGTTACCATAAAAATCACAAAACTTCACGGTGCTAAGGCCACATTTTGAGCCAGGCATTTTTATACGCGTCTTTCAGTGTTCGTAAAATGACACCGTTCCATGTATTCATTTAAATAACCGGAAACAACAATACAGATTTATATTATTATAATCATCAGAGTTGTCAGCACAAATCTGGGGGGTGGGGGCACGGCGGAGTAACAAGTTTATTCGAGAAGAAGGGGGCGGGCAACGCCAGTTATTGTGGCGTTTGGAAACCTCTGCCTTTGCTCAACCTCCTTGTTGAATTTAAAGGTCCAGTTTTTTATTTGCTTCCATCTTTCTCGACTCGCCGTTATTCTGAAGATGTGGGACCTTTAAATCTGACGTGGAACATACCTGCTGCAGGGACGTAAACAGTCTGGGCTCGAAAGAAGGAGAGGAAGAGGAACAAAGAATTGGGTCGTCGGGCGCAAGACAAAGGCGACTGGTACATGTCGCTGCAAGGGAACTGCATCATATACAGAACAGGTGGTGGCGTGGCGTGGCGTGGCGCACGCGAGAAATCGTCACCACCAACATCAACTTGCTCTGAGGCCCAATCGTTATGGCCTTCAGCCGCAGTAGGTCCATTCTCGATGTATCTCGCAGATGCTGCACCTGAATGGCACACAGTGTTGCGCTGTAGTAGTAATCAGCATTTTTATTTCATAACTGAGGGCCCTGGGTTGAAGTTCGCGTATTTCCTCAGTCCGTCCAGGTATAATTTACTGGAAACTAAGTCAATTCTGACGCGGTTCTTTCTGCTTTGTCCCGCAGAACTGTGAACAGGCGACGCTTGACATTTTACTGTTGCACGATGTTCCTCCAAGAGAATGCTGGCACGTTACCTTGAACCATTCATCTTCCTCGTCTCTCATTCGACTGACTCTGTAGTCGACCGGTAGCGCTTCTGGCTTCAATTCGGAAGCGACCGATTCGAATTTCGGCCGGAAGACGGAAATCCTAACCGAAATTTCTAGCAGCTTTCTTCAGTCCTTCCAGGGAAATATAGCAGAGATGGATTTTTGATAAGTTGCGCTAAGCATATACTGGGATAGTAAGTTAAATTTAAGGCCGCGCAATATTTATTTATTATTATTAGAGGGGGTGAGTTTCCCCATGCACTTAAACCAGTTATTGGTCCATTGTGCGTCCCCCTTTAATTTCTACTGTCCCCATACCCTACCGGTACTGGTGCGTGTTATCAGCCCCGTTCAACCAACGAGGTCGGTCGTCGGTACCTGATATTTCCCCCATCTACCAGAGGCGTTGGAAACTACTTGGGCGGGAAATTGTTGCCTAATTTCGCTCAGAGGTCTCATAGAGACATGAGGATCTTTTACGTGCCGTAAATCTACGACACGGGAAAGGCCGCGCCATAGCTCAAGCGGTTAGTCGCTGGCGTTCCACCGGGTTCGATCCCGGGTCTGGTCAAGTGGGATTTATGGTGGACAAAGTAGCGCTGGGGCAGGTTTTCACAAGAGTACTTCGGTTTCCCCTTCCAACCTTCATTCCACCAATTGCTCCACAATCACCCTCACCTATCATCTGGGGCTGGTACAATAGGCCATAAGTGGCCGCAGTACAAGGGACTTGGTCCCACTCCACTAGCAATAAAAAAAAAGTTAAATTTAACATCCCATTAAAATCAAAGCAAGGTGTTGCAAGTACAAACGCTTCTGGCTTGTATCCTGGAGGCACTCGGTTCGAAATTCGGCAGGGTCAGAACTACATTCCCATGTTTCCTCAGTTCCACTATGAAAATGCCGCGATGGCTTCAAACAGGCCTTGCACGATTCCTTACCAGCCGTTTGCCCTGAATCCGATAATTCTTCAATGTGATTCGAGACTAAATATGCATCGCAGATGATAGGCCTATATCCATTTTCTCATTCTACTGAAAATAACCTACGTAATTTAAAATGCGTCGTTCAGCGAACTAAGAAATAGATTCAAATACCACTGAAAGGTGCGGAAGCGCGAGAGAAGTACGGTCTACAGAAGTATAAAAATCAGTCACAGTAAGCCTATCATTCTACGCAATTCATGAAATTTTAATTAAATGTACTTCCCAAGGGACAAGCCTAGAGGTCTGTCCGTAAGCAAGGGGCGGCCCAACTCGATGGAAGTTCCACCAGCAAACGTGATGTGTTTCACAACTGCATTGCCCTGGCAGCCCCTTCCTCTCGGTAGCTGTCATTTTTTTTCCTATGGTCAGGAGGTGGGGGTGGCCAACTACCTGGCGGCAACACCTGCTCGTCGGAGCGGTCAGCCACGCGAACCGCGCTTACGATACATTCCACGCCGGAAATGAGGGCGCACCAGTCATCTCAATGGACCTTTAAAAATGGCTACCTCATGTCACGTATACTTCACCTTACTGCAAGTTGCACTCCGTTATCTTTTTTCTCTTTTTGACCAACAAAAGTTGTTGAGAATTCCGTCACTTTACTGGTGAGGCTGAAAAACTGTACTCCATATAAGGGCAGCACTGCATTATAAGCACTTGGTAGGACAGCCCAGGAGTTTAACATCGCTAGTGCAAAGTTCCATCCCTGAACATGACCTAGGGTAGTTTCATCCACACCCCCCAAAACCTCGCGAATTTATTTCCCAAAATCTACCTTCAATGTAAGGAGCCGGGACAGTGACTAGCTACGGGCTGGACGACCTAGGGGTCGGAGTTCGAGTCTGGTAGGGTCCATCCAACCTTCTATCCAATGGGAACCGGGGCTCTTTCCCCGGGGGTAAAGTTGACGGGGCGTGAAGCTGACCACTCACATCCAGCTACTGCCGAGGTCAAGAAAAAGTCGATCTATACATCCATCCATCATACGCCTTCATGGCGTAGTGTTTAATTACTTACGCACAAAGACAACTTTACATTTCACCTTTACTTTCAATGTTATATTCCAACTTGATGGTAGTAATATCAAAACATGTGCCACAGTCCACTACAGCAGTGTTTCTCAATCGGTGGGCCACGACCTACTGGTGAGACTTGGCGACCGGCTAGGTTGGCAGCGATATCTCTAAAATGGTTTCCATTTATGGGAAACATAATACATGAACGTAACTGCAAATATACGCTATCATTTGAGACCTGAAGCCGTGCAGTCTGGT